TCAATAATGAATAAATAAAAGATAGCTAAATATGGGATCTTCTGTTTAATGCTACACCTGGCAGATAGTACATCGGAGAAGAACACGACAAATGTGTAAAAAGACTAATCTTTACCTTTGTCTTAACTCTTTGAAAGACCGAAATACGCAGTTCTTCAGAGGCAAATGTATAAAATACCAAACCTGACTTAAAGTTAAGACCAGCCAAGCAAAGCCCAAAAAATTGAAATAGAGCTTCAGGCATTCTACTCCATAGTTCTAACTCTGATTCATCGAATAGTTTAAATTATTAAAACAAAAATTGCTGCTGGTCAGGATGGTGGCACACACCTGTAATCCCAGCAACTCTGGAGGCTGAGACAGTAGGACCTTCTAATTTCAGACCAGCCTTGGCAATTCAGAGAGTCCCTGTGTCAAGATAAAAATAAAAAAGGCTAAGGATGTAGCTCAGTGGTAGAGCACCCCTGAATTCAAACCTCTACCTTTGCCAAAATGCTTTGAATAGACTGAAATACTCAGTTCTTCAGAGGCAAATATATAAAATACCAAACCTGGCTTAAGGTTAAGACCAGCCAAGCAAAGCCCAAAAAGTTGAAATAAAACTTCAGGCATTCTACTCCATAGTTCTGACTCTGATTCATTGAATAGTTTAAATTATTAAAACAAAAATTGTTGCTGATCAGGATGGTGGCACACACCTGTAACCCCAGCAACTCTGGAGGCTGAGATAGGAGGACCTTCTAATTTCAGACCAGCCTTGGCAATTAAGAGAGTCCCTGTGCCAAGATAAAAAAATAAAAAAGGCTAAGGATGTAGTTCAGTGGTAGAGCGCCCCTGAGTTCAAACCTCCATACTAAAATAATGAAATAAATAAAAAGTTACCAAGCATGGTGGCACAAGCCTATAATCCTCTCTACTTGGGAGGCTAATCCAGGAGGATAACAAGATCAATGTCATCCTGGGCAATTTAGCAAGACTGTCTCAAGATTAAAGGAAAAAAGCTGGCATGCTTGTAATCCCAGCAGCTCAGGAGGCTGAGGTAGGAGGATCACAAGTTTGAGGCCAGCCTCAGCAATTTAGTGAGGCCCTAAACAATTTACTGAGACGCTGTCTCAAAAAGGACTGGGGATGTATCTCAACTGTCATTCAATGATAGTAAAGGGCCCTGGATTTCAGTCCCCAGTACAAAAAAAAAAAAAAGTTTAAAAGAAAAAAATTGACTGAGGACCCAGCTTAGTAGTTAAGTACCCCTAGGTTTAATCCCCAATACCAAAGGGAAAGACAAAGCAGAACCAGCTGAATAGAACCAGTTGAATTATACCTAAGTACAAATATCTCTACAACAAAAGTCTCCAACAGCTTAGTAGTGCAGAAACACTGTACAATTTTAAAACCTACGACAGAAACATCTTTGGCCCAGTCTCTGCTACCAAATTCCTCTCATTTTGTCAGACCTCTGGATTGAACTCAGAGGCACTCAACCACTGAGCAACATCTCCAGCCCTATTTTGAATTTTATTTAGAGACAGGGTGTCACTAAGATGCTTAGTGCCTTGTTGTTTCTGAGGCTGGCTTTGAACTTGTGATCCTCCTGCCTCAGCTTCTAGAACTGCTGGGATTATAGGCATGCACCCTATGCCTGGCTTTTCAACCCTCTTAATCCCCTCCCTCCACCTATACTGGGGACTGAATCTAGGAGCACATTACAGTTGACCTATAGTTCCAGTCCTTTTTACTTTTTTGAGACAGGGTCTTGCTAAATTGCTGAGATTCTTGTTAAATTGCTGAGGCTGGCTTCAAACCTATGAACCTCTTGCTTCAATCTCCCAGGTTGCTGGAATTAGAGGCATGTGACATGGCACCCCACCCAGCTTCATCCCTCTTAAACTTAACATGTACAATATATATTTAATCATCATATACACAAACACATAATTATTTGTGTGTGTGTGTGTGGTTGTGCTGAAAAAAGTATTCCTATAATTTCAACAGCTAGGTTCACTGAGACAGGAGGACTGAGGCCAGGGGATGTGGCTCAGTGGCCAAGTGCCCCTGAGTTCAATCCCTAGCACCCCGCCGTAAAATAAATAAATAAATAAATAACAGGACTTTATACAAGCTAGGCAAGTGCTCGACCACTGACCTACACCTCAGCTCTCCCATGTGATAATTTAGCCAACTTTAACGTCTCCTTCTGCTCAGAGTTTCTGGTAGAGGAAAATAATTAGAGTATTTCATTCATGTCATACTGAAAACTCAAGATGGAGGCTCTTACTCTGCTCAGAACATGTGAAAAGCTAGGAAATGGAACTATTTTATACCCATGTAGGAGGTTGTCAAATGTTCTGCGATACAATCGGAAAAATAACTTGTCTTTTTTTTTTTTAACGGCTTATTTGGCCTGGAGGAGGAATGAACCCCTAAACTGACCTCCCTCTTTACATTCTATGGTTTTTCTAAGAGATTCCCAAGCTCTGTCATTTCCATGCTATTAAGGAGAGGACAGTTCAGTTATCCTCCCCACATACCGTTTTGCCAATTATTAGAAACTAAAACCTGTTCTAGGAGAAACAAGGTATAGATGTATATTCATCCATCATGGTTAGTGGAAAAGTACTTATACATGTTTTCTTTTTCCTAACTTGATTTAGAGAAAAACAAGCAATGCAGAAAATGGAGAATTAAAATGCATACATGGGCTGGGGTTGTGGCTCAAGGGGTAGAGCACTTGCCTAGCACATGTCAGGCACTGGGTTCCATTCTCAGCACCACATAAAATAAAATAAAGATATTGTATCCACCTAAAACTAAAAAAATAAGCATTAAAAAAAGTCTATGCAGTAAAATAAAAACAATAGCAAATGGGCTGGGAGTGTGGCTTAGTGGTAGAGCCTTTGCTTATAGTCAAGGTGAGACCCTGAGTTCTAATCCCACTGCCTCGAGCAAACAAAAAACAGCAACTGTGGTGCAGTGTGCAGGCTAAGGTCTTAGGTCTTGTTCTGTCATTGACTTGCTGAGTAAGTTACTCAACTTCTCTGGGTTTCCTCTTCTGTAAATTAAGCAATTTGGATGACATCATCTTTTAATTCTACAAGTATTTAGACTTAATCTGAAACTCTTGGTGTATATCTATCATTTTAAAATGCAGTGGGGTGAAGTGTATTTCTGCAGTGACAGCATACCTGGAAATTTTAGGGATGATATATAAACCAATTACAATTACTTGGATATAATCATAAGATTGAAGCAATACACAACTTGCATCATTTTGGAATTTTTCCTCCCCAAGAGACCCTAGTAGCTACACAATAGACTTGGCCAGATTCTCAGTTCTGTAAACTGACAGCTTGGATTCGGATAGGAGGTTATTCAGAAATAAAGAAGTACCATTCTCTGCCTTTTTTTGTTATTTTGTATGTGTGCGCGTGTGTGGGGAGGGTGTACTGGGGACTGTACTCAGGGGCACTTGGCCACTGAGCCACATCCCCAGCCCTATTTTGTATTTTATTTAGAGACAGGGTCTTACTGAGTTTCTTCCCCCGTTGCTGAGGCTGGCTTTGAACTCGGGATCCTCCTGTCTCAGCCTCCTGAGCTGCTAGGATTATAGACGTGCACCATTGAGCCAGGCCTGTATCATTCATTCTTTAATACTAACAATTTTCCTATTTATCATTATCCTTCTGCCCCGCCCAGGATATTGATTTTTTTTTTTTAATGAGGCAATCATTAAATGGAATAATCCCATCAAAAAATGTAAATTAGTCTAAAAATATGGATTTGAAATAGATTCAACATGTTAAAGTCATCACAAATGTTCAAGTATCTATGAAGAACATTTTAAACCTTACATCCAATCCCCAGGTTTGGGGAGACTGCTTTATCTTATAAAGTGAACTACTCTGCCTGACTGGTGGGAGACAGGGAAGAGAAAAATATTTTCCCCAAGTAAAAAGGCTGTGGCCCAGAGAGGACGCATCCCCTACTCAAACCTAAGCCTTTCCTCTGGACTCTGAAGCTTCTCCACATAAGTGCAACTGGCCAGGGTTCCCGAGACTATTCTAGACGAAGATTGAATTCCTCCTTGGCCTTTAATATAAGCTGATCAGGCCAGGTGTCAGATGAGAAAGGACATAGGTGGTGGAGTTCCAGGTTTCAGGGTGGGTAAATGTTAATGAAGCGCCTTAGCAAAGGTGCGGGCGGACACAGTGTTGTATAATATTGCTCTTCCTTAGCAAATTTTCTCAAGCTGACTTCCAGCAGGCGGTCTTTTCATGCCTCTAAGGTCAATCCCGCCGCAGGGACGAAAAAAATCGCTGGCCGACTGGACTCCAGATGATGCAGTACAAAGGCCTAGCCCTAAGAACTCACAATACAGTCTTAAGCCCTGCTTGTGGGCACTGCTCTAAGCCGGCATTAGAACCATCCCCCAGCTGTACTAAGTATGGCAGCAAAGTAATTATTGCATCGTTGGCAGTGGAATTACACTTGGAACGGTTTCATAGAAGTCTCTTGGCCCTCTCTACTCTCGGGGCTTCAGTTTCAAGGAAGGAATCCCCAACTAAACTGAAATCGCGATGGTGAAGAGGAGATCTGCGACCGAACTGCAACTCCCAGAAGCCATCGCGGGCCTTCAGCATCCGGGACACCGTCCGCATGGACCCCTGGGTATTGTGGTCCCTTGCTTTGGCAGCAACCCTCTGCCGACGGTAAAATTTCGGCCGAGCGGAAGACCACAACTCCCAGCAACCCTTGCTGCTGTGCGGGGGGTCTTCACGTTCTCGTGGCGCGGCGCAGGCGCACTGGGTCCTCGGCGCGGACCGCGCAGACTGAATAATAAAAGGGGAGCGGCGAAGAGGCAGGAAGACAGGACCATGTCGAAGGGCCCCGGGCCCGGCGGCTCCGCAGCTTCCTCGGCGCCCCCGGCCGCTACCGCTCAGGTGCTGCAGGCACAGCCCGAGAAACCGCAGCACTACACGTACGTAGAGCCCCCCCCGCCGCGCGCGCACGCCTGACGTCAGCGGCCAGCGTGAGTCACGCGCGCAGGGAGAGCGCGAAGCGGCCTCTCCCTCCCCCCTTCTTCCTCCGGCCCGGCCCAGACCGGTTCCAACCTGCTGGGGCCGGTCCCAACTGCCTCCAACTGCCACCAACCTCTGGTCGGGCTGTGGGGCGGGAAACTCGGTCCCAGCGGCCGAGTGGGGAAGGCGGGCGCTGGGGATGCGGAGTGCACACTTCTCTGGCCTGGCCTTCGAGGCCTGACTGTTGCTCAGACTATAAAACCACAGTCCCAGGCACCTTTCGGGGCGACTAGAAGTCCACGACACCACCCAGACGAGTTCCATAGGGGCCGGCCCTAGAACCGCTTGTGAATGACGGTTTGCGTGAAGTCCTGTCAGGAGGCCCGGTGCAGCGTGCACCGGAGGCCTTTTGTGTCCTGAAGGCCCCTAGGTTGTCCAGGAGGAGCACCCTTGCTTGATTTTGCTTAGAACAGTTGGCTGAGAAAAACACGCAAAACCCCTAGCAGGCTGTCCTGATCCAGCCTCAGCCTGGGACCCCAAGGCTGATGGCTGCCAAATATGACTATAGAGCCCCCGCCCCCCCAAATGTGGCAATAGAGGGAATTCCAGTTGTTGACACTGCAAGATTGGCAAGATGAAAAGCCCTGGAAATCTGCTCGTGGCTACGTGTAGGTCCCAGTATTCATTTCTTTTCAAGGGACATTAAGCACTTAGTGCTAGGTGCTGTGGGAGGGAAAAAGGTGAATAAGAAGCGGTTCCTCCTGTTGCGCAAAATGCTGTTGTTTTCCCGAGTGATGTGCATGTCTAGAAGACCACCCCGCACCCACTGCTGGAGGAACTTGAGGGGTCAGCCAAGCCTCAAGTTGTTCAGTGAACGAAGGGCAAAGAAGCATCTGTTAGGAGCCCAGAAACCAAAAGTAGACAGGAGGAGCTCTTGCTTGTCACAGAAGAAACACCCTTTGGGAGACTGTTCTGGGATCAGTCATAGGAAGTGTATCTGTTTTTTGTGGGATTCTCTGGTGTTGCCTGAAATCATCTAAGCCTCTTTGACTACAGTGTGACCCAAGTTTATAACTTTTCTGATAAGGCTATTGTTTTGCTGGTCTTTGTTTTTATTTACTTTTGGAGGTGATGGGAATGGAACCCAGGCCTGGCTCTGCCAGTGAGCTACATCCCCAGCCCTGTTGGTCTTTTCTTCCTGGAGTTCTTGCTCCATCCATTGCTTTTGACCACGTGAACTTACCTTGGAGAATACCTACTATTTGAATAATGTCATAATTCTTGATTTGCCAGTTTGGAAACTTAATATAATTGGAGCTTCTTTATAATCTCTGATTGCTCAGATCATGTTTTTATGTAAAGTACCAAACACATTTTGAGTAATGTAGGTCTTGGTTTCAGCAACTCGTCTTTCTATGTTGTGTTGTCATTTAATCTACTATATCTTTAATATACAATGTCTTCCTGATTACTTGGTCTTAATAGATTAAATTGTTTTTGACAGATGTATGAATGTCAATAACAGTCTTTGTTCTCTTGATTTTCATTTGTTTGAAAGCTGCCTTTCCATTCTTTGTGAGGTAGGTACAGAGTAATGGAACTCTTGTTTTTGGGGTGTCTTAGTAAATCAACAGGAGTTGATGAAATCTTGACTTGATTAGATGGTGAAGGTTGTAGATATTACTCTCTTTGGATTTTATTTTTTTTTTTAAATGCCAGTGTAGGGATTGAAGACTTTGCACATGCTATGCAGGCATTCTACCACAGAGCTGTATCCCCAGCTCCTTGTGTTTGTATCTCCAAAATTAAGGGGAAAAAAGTTGTTTTTCATGGTAGACTTATGGGTGTTCAGTAGTTGTGATGATATGGAAAATTTTATCTCCTGTCATTCAAGTCTGAGTTGACACAGGATTGCTGGCTCTGACTTTATTATTATTAAGGTGAATTCAGTTATTGTCCTTAGGGGATACAGGGGACAGGAACATTTTTATTTCTATTTCAGTATTTTCTGTGAAATCCTGAGCTGCCCTGCATAAAAAAATCCATTTCTCCCTTGCAGTATGAATTTCTAGTGTTTGTTTCAATCTCAATATGGCTTTTATCTACTACATTGATCCAATTGTTGAACACATATAAACCTCTTATTTATTTATTTATTTCTAAAATTTATTTACTGTTGTCCTGGGAATTGAACCCAGGAGCATTCTACCTCTGAGTGAAATTCCCAGCCTTTTTTAAATTTTATTTTGAGACAGGTTCTCACTGTGTTGCCCAAGTTGGCCTCAAACTTAGGATCTTCCTGCCTTAGCCTAAGTAGCTGGGATTACAGATGTGCCCCACTTTGCCTGGCTATATATTTTTTAATGTATCAAAATTCTGTTGCCTTTTAAAACTCTTATATATTAATTAATTTGGTGTGATTTCCCACCCCCCCCATGCTGGTGATTAAACCCAGGATCTCCCACTTGCTAGACAAGTGCTCTAACACTAAGCTACAACCTCAACTTCTAATTTGTTATATTTTTTATTTCTGATATTTGACATTATGTGACTGCTATAGTTTTATAATAATCCAGAGAAACTTGCACTAAAATTGAGTCTCATTCATCATAATGACAATTTGCCAAATAGTGAATCTACCAAAAGCAAAAATTGCTTCCCACCACGTGTAGTAGTATGGGCCTATGATTCCAGCCACTTGGGAAACTGAGGCCAGCCTCAGCAACTTAGCAAGACCCTATCGCAAAATAAAAAAAGACTGGGATTGTAACTCAGTGGTAAAGCACTCCTGGGTTCAATCCCCAGTACCTACCCACCACTCCCCTGAAAATTGCTTTTCTGTAGGCTTGTGGGTTTTGTCCTTTGTTTTTGTGTCCTCAGAGTTTGACGGCTCCTTAAGTCAAGAGGATTATTCATAACATATTTAAAGGATAATTATTTGTTAGCAATTTTTCCCTGAACTTTTGAATAATATTGCATTAAGGGAAACTGAAATGATCCTTTCAGCAAATTGGTATAGTTAGTATACAATTGTTTAGATTTGAGGAATCAAGTCCTTATAGGAAATAGTTATATCAGGGGCTGGGGCTGGGGCTCAGTGATAATACACTGCCTGGCATATGTGAGACACTGGGTTCAATTCTCAGTACTGCATATAAATAAATTTTTAAAAATGAAAGGTCTATCAACAACTAAAAAAATTTTAAAAATAAAACATATCAGAATTTAATCTGTTGAACAGTTCCAAGTATTTGATTAACACTCAGGAAAAGTATAATGTATGTATATTAGTAAATATTTAGTATAAGAACCACATGACCTTCTTTTATTAGGTAACTTGTCTTTTTATTTGACAAAGACTAAATTTAAACCAGCAAGACCATCTTGTACATTAGAAGAATTTTATATAAAACAATTTAAAATTGAGTCTGGGCCTGGTGGCTCATGCCTGTAATCCCAGCAGCTTGGGAAACTGAGGCAGGAGGATCACAAGTTCAAAGCCACCTTAGCAATTTAGCAAGACCCTAAGCAACTTAGCAAGGCTGTCTCTAAATTAAAAATAAAAAAGCTGGGGATATGGCTCAGTGGTTAAGTGCCTCTGGGTTAATTTCTAATACCCCCCCAAAAAAAAAAAATATATATATATATTTTTGAAAGTTCATGAAAATATTTAATTTTCTTTTGTCATTGTTTTGGCCCTATAAGAGGAAGTATGCCTCAAAGATAAATCTGTTTCGGATTCCTTCATCTGCAGTTGATTCCAGCTTCTTAATGCTCTCATTTTAAAGGGAAAGACAATTCTAGTGTAGTGAAGGTTTGTTAGTATTTTCTAGCCACTGGGTGATTTCTCATAGGAGACGGATGATAAGTGCTTCATAGCCTTTGCTATCTAGGTTTCATTTTAAGTTAGGAATAGTTTCCTGGGCATCATTAAATGAAGATAACATATAGTAGTTCCACAGAAAACTATTTTAAGGCAATTTTGTTAGTTTTACACATTACACATAAATGTTGTGAACCTCACTTGATTGCATCTGATTATGTTTTGGAAAATCCAGGAAATGAACGTGTATTTAAGTCATTATTGCAAATTGTAGTAAAATTGTAAATACATACTGGAGTACAACTTGTTGCACAACATAAGTCACTAAAGGTGTTACTTAGCAACCTCAGAGAGAATGAGCTAAATTACCAATAAATCTTTATGGATCTTATTGACTCATTTATGAAATAAGACTAATTTTTTGCTGAACAAAAATTAAGGACTCACTGTAGTCTTCATTCAAGCTCACAAAATCCCTGTTAGTAAGTATTAAAGTGCCCATGCTGAGAGTAGACTCTTAAGCTTAACACCCAGTTGATATTTGCTATAATCTAAATTAATAATTAAAGTCAAGATTTGCTTAATGGTTAAGTTTCTTTGTTTTAATCCAGCTATGTTAGATACTAAAGAAGGCTTCCCCACAACCCATATGCATCTGCTTTGACTGGTGGTTTCTATCATCCTACAAAGACTGTGACTTATTGGTGAGGGCAGCTGGACAACTCTGAGAGCATCTTAGAAATCCATCTTGGGCACAATCTATAAAGGAGCTCCTCTGGAAATAGCACCCCAGATAAGTGCACAAAAGCAAGACACCCTCGTGGACCTACTACCTCCCGCTTCCAACACCCTGATGACTGAAGGTGAGGTCTCCTTCCTGTGTGTCTTAGAAGCCAAGAGCACACTAGGTTATTAGAGCCCTGCAGCAGCCTGAGTAACACATACCTGTAGGTATTCCTGCCAGACCTTTGCCTAAAGGTATTTTTTCATTAGGAGAGATGCTAGGTCAGAAGAGTGGTGAAAAATAAGGTTTTATTTAAAGCAACTTTAAATAGTGGAGTAGTCTATGATTATTTTCTCAAACTGAGCAATATTTGCTTAGTGATTAAGAGTTTTGTTTTGTTGGTTTTTTTAATCCAGCTGTGCTTGATATTACAGGAGGTTTTTCCACTATCCTTATGCTTCTTCTAAATTTTGAAATTGCAACTCTGGACAGTTATGACTAATCCTAGTAGATTATCTTCCCTTCTTTTAACATCTTGGATGCACTTGGGGCACACCAATGTGTTATGTGAAGATGGATGTTGAATGTAAGTTTTGGTGCCATTCTTAGCCAACTTAGAAAAATTACATTAGCCTAATTGCTAAAAATTCTAAGAATTGGATTTAGTATATTTCTGAAAATTGTAGCTTTCTTGTTTCCTTACCATATAGATACTCTATATAGATTTGCCCCAGCCAGTCATCTTAAAATATCTGCCTAGGCAATAGAACCATTTGTGTTAGAGAATTTGGGTAAAATCGAGTATGTGATAAAAGGCATGGAATTTAAGAGTGATAGAAATGTTCTGGAATTAGATAGTGGTGGTGATTACCCAGGTTGGTAAATATACTGAAAATCACCAAAATGTATACTTTAAGATGGTGAGTTTTTATGTTGTATGAATTATATTTTATTTTCTTAAAATGTTTAAAACAAAATCAGTACATGAGTTTTTACTACTTCAAGCATGTGACCTGTTGCCAAGGCTCAATCGCATTTTTTCAGTGTGGGAAAGCCTGCAATTTGCAAAAAGCACCTTGATGTTCTTTTCCTAGCCTTCCCAAAGGCTGTATCCCTGTGTATACATTCTAGATGAATGGCCTAATGTTGTCAGGCTATGGAGAGGCTTTTGAGATAAGTGTATACTCACAGTACATTTGAAACTCCTAGTTGTTGATAGTTGTATTTTAAATTGTCTCTAAATTGACAGCCATTAGAGGAACAAGCAGATTTTTTTCCAATGCTTTTACAAAATGTACTGGGGTTATTTCCCAGGGTGGGTGGAAGGTGGAAGAGAAAGTTAGGTGTACTGCAAAAGTGTGATAGAGCCCTTTCTTCAGTTTCTGGGATGATTGTTTTAAAGCTCACAAGGGCATTTCTTAACTTCAGGTCATGTGTTTTAGGCATTTAAGATAATGTTAGTGGCTATAATACATTAGTTCTAGTAATCTCAGCAAACTTTTAATTCTCATTAAAATCCCTCAACTTTCACCCTTTTTTCTTTGCCAGTTTGTAGAATTTGACAGCAGTATCAAGAGCTGAGGAGAAGGCGAAGATGGAAAGGAGTCTAGCGACTTAAAAGTCACATAGCATTATCTGTGAGGTGACCTTTTTCCTATTGGTGGCTCAGTTTGTTTAGGAGATAAAGAAGATGCTAAGGCCTTTGGCAATGTCATCCTGTCATAGCTGAATTTATTGAAATGTTTCTTCCCTTTCCTTATTCTTCACATCAGTTTGCTTTTCATGTTCAGAATTTGACTCATTTCTTTTCTGTTAGTGTTTGAAACACCATACGGCCACCATCAGTCCTAACAGTGACTTCTAATAAGCAGGGGTGGTCCAGATCCCATCTTCCTATAAAATTTTGCCCTACTTTTAAGGGAGAGGATTTTCTTAAGAACATTACTATATCTTTTTGGTGTCCCTTTTATTTAAGAGGTATTAGGTACCTGATGGCCTGACGCTTTAGGTATTGTATGAATCAAACCTATTTAAACCTAATATAGAGGGCTGGGGATGTGGCTCAAGTGGTAGCGCGCTCGCCTGGCATGCGTGCGGCCCGGGTTCGAACCTCAGCACCACATACAAACAAAGATGTTGTGTTTGCCCACCGAGAACTAAAATAAATAAATATAAAAAAAAAATAAAAATAAAAAAATAAACCTAATATAGAGACCACTATTTGTATTCCCTACGTAAAAACAAACTAACTGACCTATATTTTAAAAATGAAGTGAGAGTACTTTATAATGAGTATATTTTAATGAGCCAATAGAGCTTGTTAAAGTTAATATTTCTGTTTTCATTTTAGTAAATTACAGTATTATAATTATGGCCTGCCAAAAACTCTCCCTGGCATATTAAATGCATGCTGTAGAGCCACTGGTACTTATTTACTACTACTATTGTTTTCCTTTAGCTCCATTAAGAAAAGCTTAGTTAAAAACTAGCATAGTGGTTAAGAGGACTGGCTCCAGGGTCATGCTCCCTGGGTATGAGGCTCACCTCTACCGCTTATTAGCTGTGGAACCTTAGGCAAGTAGCTCTTTAGTATATTTCAGTTTCCTGAGAATAGCAACAGTACCTGTCTCATGGGGTTTTTAAGAGGATTCAGTGAGTTAATACATGTAAAGTGCTTAAAACAGTGCTGGGCACTTAGCATAGAGAAGTATGATTTTTACCAATTTTTGAACCAGGCCCAAGTCACTGCTTTCAGTTGCATTGTTCCCTCCTTCAGCATCCTTAGTCACATGCCTTCTTTGACTGCATCTGCACCAAATAGTCATTTCATAGGGTGCTTGTGGGTCAGCTTTATCTCTTGGAGTACACATCCACTCAAGTCTCATTTCAGTCTCCTATTTTTGCAGAGCCTCATTAGACTGCCTAATTCATCTTATGTGTTAGATATGTGTCCTTTGTTGACCCACTCTTTTTTTCTTTTGAACCCAGGGGTACTTAACAACCGAGCCACCTCCCTAACCCTGCCTTTTTTTTTTCCCTTTTTTTAAATTTGAGACTGAGCCTTGCTGAGTTGAACTTGCAATCCTGTCTCAGTCTCCCGAACTGCTGGGATAACAAGCATGCACCACTGCACCTTGCCTATGTTGATCTAGGGCCAAATAATTTGTTTCAGAGAGTAACAGTATATAAAATGTTTATTTAAATGCGTACACCAAAATGTTCATAAAATTGAAGGTTTTTTAGGGCAGCTATGTACTGAAAAACTTGAAGTAAAGGTAGTAACTGATTCGGGAAGAATAAAACAGGGTTCTGGTTCTTCTTGTATGTTCTCCAACATCAGTGATGTGCCTGATCCTTACATGAATTTTGTCTCCCCCATTTCTCCAGCTCCAAGATCCTTAGAGCCAAAAGACAATTATAGAAAGAAGGAACCAGGGACAAGCAGCACTGGTTACATAGCAGTGTTGACCTCCTCATAGGTCTTGTTAGTTCTTGGGGCTAGGACAGCTTGCAGGTATGATCTTTCCAGTGAACACCAGTGCAAAGTGGGCTGAAAATGAGTGAATTTGACAAAATTATGTTGTGTGCATGTATCAACATACCACAGTGAATTCCACTTTTATAAAAAATAAAATAAATTTTATTA